TGACAAGACCCGACATTCATAGCGGGCTTGCACGTGAGGTTGTGGGTTATGGGTTAAATACAAGGAGGGCTACTCCACATATTGCCAATTGGTTTTAGGTTGGATGCAAGCCTTGTGTTGAGCCCACATGCAGGATTTTCAATAGCCTGAAAGCATAAATAATTATAATCATTTTTTTTTCCAAGTAAACTGAAAACTTTATTTTCCTTTCCTTTCTACTCATTTCCCTCCATCCAAACATGGAGCTTGCAAGGGTGATCCGAAGACAAATACCAAAATAAGACCGCAGATTGTAGTATTAAAAATTTTGGGCGATTATGGCAAATGGTGAAATTGTGATGAGAAATGAGAGAAAATTAAACATCTCTAAGAAACAATTTAAATTTGACTAACAACAGATTTTGCAATAGAATTTGGGGATAAGGTTAACCGCAGGTCAGACTCCTAAGTCCCTAACCCCTTAAAAGTGTTCAATCTTTTTTATTTTTTATTTTTAAATATAGAGATAATAGATTGAATATTAAACATATGATTAATGATGTAAATAACTTTATCACCTCCGATCGTATAACTAATGACATGTGTTGTTCTTTTTTAAACTAATATGAATCAAACCCAATCCATGGGCTGGGGTAGGTACACCTTTACTAGTCAGACTGGAAGGCAATTTGAATTTTCTTGTGTTACTGAAATCTAATGGTTATAAGTGTTTGACGTAAACATCAATTGACATCGTCCTTGTATGACTTTTTTTTGGGCCACATATCCTTTGTGATTCAACAAGATAGTCTTAAAATGATCTCTCTTTTTTTTGAAGTAATATGAAGCATGATAAGCTAATATGATGAAAATGCTTATAAATATGATGGTCCCAATGTTGCTCTCCATAATTATTAATCATGACGATACAAAGCACATGTATATATAAAAAAAATATCATGCATGCATGCCTTTGTAAAATTAATTATGAGAGATAATTTTGATGATTAAAAAACAACAAAAGCAAAAAGAGAACCAACGATGTTCTAATCACAATTGAAAAATAAATTAAAATATTTTAATAATAAAAACGTCAACACGTCTAATAATAACTATATTAATAACTATATAATGAATTTAATAAAGTTATTATTCAAATTATACTTTATACATATAATAATTGTAATTAGACATCAAATGTCTAAGACATTTTAATTTTCTGTTTTCTCATTATAATATCTTGTAAATTTATAATTAATTAATTTATATTCATAATGTGTTACTAAATGAATTATGTATATAATATTATAAGTGATTCATGAATAAAAAATTAATTATATAATAACACTTTATAATTATAAACTTACAATAACAGTAACATATAATTAATATAGTAACCACTAACTATTATCATTTTTTCAAAAAAGAAAATAATACTAATAAAAGGAAATGGCAATTTGCCCTTGCCTACTACTTTTGTGGTTTGGCGGTTCACTACGCCCCTGACCTACAAAATTATGTATTTGACTCCGTAGAGGGTTTACCCACGAGGTTGAGGTGGGTGGACTATAATAAAAGAGAAACCATAGTTGGTTTAAATCATTAAATGCAATTTTAATGATATACTATAATCATTTTGTAATTAGATGAGTGAATGGGTGTAATATTACATGTTTTAATAAAATGAAAAAAAATTAAATATTAAAAATTACTAAGGTTGTGTGAAAAATATATAAAATAAAAATTAGTGTATCTTAATTATTTTCATAATGAAACAACCATCAAATATCAATAGTTGGTTTTTAATTTAAAAATAAG